TTTATTATATCTTTTCATATGACAACACTGAAGAAATTACACTCTGCTACAATGTAAAGTAGTCAGTGTACAGCCTGTATAACAGTGTATATTTGCTGTCCCCTCAAAAATAACTCAACACAGAGCCATTAATGTCTAAACCGTTGGCAACAAAAGTGAGTACCTTGCCAAAGTTAATTCAGCCCATTAAAGACTTCCATGGCATACATAATCAATTCACATTTACATTTTTACATAATTAGCACTTATTTAAGGCTGGTGAGATAGCTCAGTGGGCTAATGCTTTAACACATGAAGCTATTCAACCTCCTGGCAGGGGTGACTCTGCCCTTTATCCTTCCCAGGTAGATAAAATGAGTGCAATTATTTTGGGTAATAGTAACATCCCCTGGACATAGGGCAAAAGTAACATCCCAAGGATGTACCTGAAAATCAGAGTAATCTGAATGTACCTTTCCTAGTTAAATACTTTGTTATTATTTACATTTTGTGTTAAATGTTTTTTTATTTTGTTTGTAGTATGATGGCAGCTATATATCAAGGATAAGATTAAATGCAGTGTTGCCTTCGCAGAGGCTCATTGTGAAAAATAATGAGTAGTGTACATGGGCCTACGCAGAGGCCTAATATGGCTTTACATTACAAGATCAGTCATTAGCACTTCATAAGCATTCTGATTTAGAGCTATTTATATACATTGTAGATTGCTTAGTGAGATGATTATTAACCCCTTCAGGACGGGTGACGGACGAGGTCCGTCACGCAGGGGAGACCCTTAACGACGGGTGACGGACCTCGTCCGTCACGCGGTAAAATTAACCCCGGATCGCCGCTATCGCGGCGATCGCGGGGTTAATGGTGCTCCCGGTATGCCTCTGCATTGGAGGCATACCGGGAGCACCCGGTCAGTCTGCCCAGCACATGTGCTCGCTCTGACCGCAAGTCTGAGCGAGCACATGTGCTCTGTATACTCACCTACCGGCTCCCTGCACTTCCGGGTTCTGTGTGAAGTGCAGGGAGCCGGATCAGTGCTGATCCTGCCCCCTGCTGTAAAAAAAAATAAAGTTTATTTAAAGTGTCCCCCCCCTTACCCATTTTAATAAAAAATTAACCCATTCCCTGCCAATTGATCACTGACTACAGTGATCAATTGGCAGGGATTACATTTTACTATGATCTGATTTTTTTTTTAACCCCTGAGGGTTAATTCTTTTTTTTAACCCTCAGGGGTTAAATTAATTAAATTAATTAATTAAATTATTTTTAAATTATATATTTAGATAGCTGGGGTAGGTGGAAGTTAGTGGGGAATTGGGGGATTTGACGTTAGGCTAACTAGGGGTTAACGTTAAAAAAAAGTTTTAAAAGAAACTTTAAAAAGTTAAAAATTAAGCTTAAAAATGTTTTAATAACATTTAAGTAATAAAAACAAAAAAACACACTTTACCTAGTCCAAATAAAAATTAACCCCTTCCCTGCCAGTCGATCACTGCCTACAGCGATCAAATAGAGATCACAGTATTATACTGTGATCTAATTTTTTTTAACCCCTGAGGATTAACTTTTATTTATTTTTTTTAACCCTCAGGGGTTCAATTTATTTAATTAATTAATTTAAATATTTTATAACTATATATTTTGCTAGCTGGGGTGGGTGGGAGTTATGGGAAAACGGGGAATTTACTGTTAGTGCTGCGTACTGCTAGTTAGGGGTTAACAGTAAAAAAATAGCTTAGAAAAATGTTAAATCTGTAAAAAAGTTTTAAGAAAGTTTAGGAAAGTTTAAAAAAAATTTATAAGCAAAACAAAAGTTTAAAAACTAGTTTTTAAAAGTAAAAAAGTTATAAAAAGTAAAAAAATACATTTTAAAAACGCTCATTACCACTACACCTGGAACAAACTAGAGAAAAAATTATCCCACGCCAAGGTTCAAAATATGCCTTTTGAATTACCCCAGGGTGTATTCTTTAATAAATAGTATGTGTTTGTGGGGAAGTTTCAATAACCAACCGTCTAAACTATTCCAAATTGGAACATGGACACAGCGTAAAACTTCAAAGTTAGAAAAAAACTGAATGGCTGCGTCTCAAATGCGCCCCTTCAACATCCACATATACCTGGCAAAGGTACATACGGGGGTATTGCTGTACTCAGCCGACATAGCTGAGCAACATATGAAGTATTATACAGTCATAGTACACATAAGGTTTGCAAAATATGCTGCGCAAACTCACTTTGTATGTCAAAAAAGCAGAAAAATGCTTATTACCACTACACTTGGTACAAGCTAGCGGAAAAATGATCCCACACTAAGGTTCAAAATATGCCTTTTGAAATACCCTGGGATGTCTTCTTTAAGAAATGGTATGGCTTTATGGGGAATTTGGATTATATAGCCTGGTAAAATACTCTAAAATGGGACATAGGCACAGCATAAAAATTCAAAGTTTGAAAAAAACTGGAATGGCTGTGTCCCAAATGTGCCCCTCCGATGTCCACACATACCTGGCAAAGGTACATACGGGGGTATTGCTGTACTCAGCCGACATAGCTGAGCAACATATGAAGTATTATACAGTCGTAGCACACATAAGGTTTGCAAAATATACTGTGCAAACTCACTTTGTATGTCAAAAAGGCAGAAAAAACGCTTATTACCACTACATCTGGTACAAGCTAGCGGAAAAATGATCCCACGCTAAGGTTCAAACTATACCTTTTGAAACACCCTGGGGTGTCTACTTTAAGAAATGGTAGGCCTTTGTGGGGTAGATTGAATTTAAAACCTGCGAAGATGCTTGGAAATTGCACATAGGCCCAGCGTCAAAATTCAAAGTTTGGTAAAAACGGATATGGCTTGGTCTCCTATATGGCACTGTAGCTTCACAAAATAGTGACAAAGACATTCATTGGGGGTGTATTTTTACTCAAAAGACTTAGCTGAGCATAATTTGGGAGGTTTGAACTTAGTGGCACATATGAAATATACAAAACGCCCAGCAAAAATGCAATCCGTATGTAAAAAATGCACAAAATAATTTTTTTACCACATACTTTGGCATATATTGGTGAAAAAATGGGGGTATGTCAAGGCACAATATGCACCTTATGAGATACCCTGGAGTGTCTACTTTTACAAATGGTAGGCCTTTGTGGGGGTTTTTTGAACAGTCAAACTGTTATAATACCCCAAATGGAAGCTAAGGCTCATTAAATCCGTCTCTCAAAATTCTACTGTGAATACTGTAAAGGACAGGTCTCCTATATGGCACTGTAGCTTCACGAAATAGTGCCAAAGACATTCATATGGGGTGTCATTTTACTCAGAAGACTTAGCTGAGCATAATTTGGGGGGTTTGAACTTAGTGGCACATATGAAATATACAAAACGCCCAGCAAAAATGCAATCCGTATGTAAAAAATGCACAAAATTATTTTTTACCACATACTTTGGCATATATTGGTGAAAAAATGGGGGCATGTTAAGGCACAATATGCACCTTATAAGATACCCTGGAGTGTCTACTTTTACAAATGGTAGGCCTTTGTGGGGGTTTTTTGAACAGTCAAACTGTTATAATACCCCAAATGGAAGCTAAGGCTCATTAAATTCATCTCTCAACATTCTACTGTGAATACTGAAAAGGACAGGTATCCTGTATGGCACTGTAACTTCACGAAATAGTGCAAAAGACATACAATGGGGGTGTCATTTTACTCAGCAGATGTAACTGAACACAAAATAAAACTTTGTACAGGAATAGCACACACCAACTTTACAAAATATACACGAGAATTTCTCTGTTATAAGTTTGTGTGCCAAAAACCAAAAAGAACACAATTTTACTCCAATATTTAGCAGAGGTTGGCGGTGAAATGGCTACGTAGAAAGTGTCAAAACAACCTTAGGTAAATAGCCCGTGATGTCTACTTTATATAAATATATACTTTTGTGTGGCAATTTTGTTTTCTTTTATGGCTATTAAGCTTACAAGACAAACATACCAAATTCTAAAATCGCTCCACATTAAAATTTTATTTTACTCCTTGTGCTTTGTGACCTGTAACTACCAAAAAAAACTTAAAATCCCAGACACATTATATATTCTGTAAATCAGAACAAATAAATAAATTTATTTTTAATTACTTTCCTTAACCTGCACTAATTATGCACACATTATTATTGCAAAAACTGTAAAAAAAAACAATATTTTTCATTTTTTTTGCATTTTTCTGTATTTTTTTTATAATAAGTAAGCATTTATATATATATATGTTATATCAAATTAAAGCCCTTTCTGTCCTTTAAAAAACAGTATATAATATGTGTCGGTGCAATAAATGAGAGAGATGCAAATTGCAGTTGAACGCAAACAGCAAGAAAATGCAAAAATTGCTTGTGTCATTAAGCGTAAGTCAAGCTTCTGAAGCTGTGTCCTTAAGGGGTTAACCATATGTAACCAATTTTCCTTGCAAAATAAATGCAAACATTCAATAACTTACACCGTAGGGTGCATAATCACCTGCGCAGAAACATAAACGTCAAATAATATAGGCATAATGGAATCTAATGCAGTCAACAAGCATACGCTTAATTCATCATCATGTATAACGCATTACATCTTTAAAGGCAAAACAAAGGGCAGCATATGTTACCAAGGGAAAATGCAATCTAAGATATGGGATGAGCGTTAAATAGATACATACACCTGCATAAATGTTGTGTCATTACTATAAATAAATACATAAACGTTTGGTTTCTTTTTTTTTTTTTTTTTGCTTTTGACCTGGTCCACAAGCAACAGAGGGGCAGCGGGTAAAACACACATGAGCAGGAGAACCACCCGCAGACACAGCCGCAGGAGATCCCAGGGACAAATCTCCAGCCGAGAGTTCCATAGTACAGCGGGCACTCAAGGATTTACCAGTCCACAGGACCCCCCCACCTAGAGTCTGTGTATCGGCCATCTCCTGCACCCCCAGAGCCCCAGCCGGACTCGATGAAGGCCGTCGTTTGTCTCACCCTACTCCGGCCACTCAGGGTAGGTGCCGACTGTCCTCTTAGCTACCGGTCTGCCGGAGGCTGCCGCTTCCCAGTCCCCTAGGGATCACAGCGTTGGGGACATTTACCTCCAGGCCCTCCTCAACCACGACATGGTACAGTCCCAGAGTCGCAACATCTGGCCAACAGACCCCACGAACACCGCAGCAGTTCTCCTCGACCACGACATGGTACAGTCCCAGAGCCGCAACATCTGGCCAACAGACCCCACGGACACCGCAGCAGTGCCCCATCGGGCTCCACCGCCCACGTGCATCGTCTCCGGAGCCCCATACGTCCTGCAGGTGACAAATCGACACGGAGGCTTCTCAGGGTAAGGCGGGCGATCTGATCACGGTTAGGTCCATGATAGATGCCGGACTAGCAGCGCAAGCAGTGAGTGTCTCTCAATTCCGGGTGTAGTTTTCAGACGGGCCACGTCTAGGCAGTCTGTGCCTGTACAGGAGAGCAGCGTGGTCTCCAGGTAGCACTTCCCGCCCTGGAGTGTGTGTTCTCCATGATGCTGGGTTCACCCCCACTGACCGTGGGGGGGGGGGGCGGAGCGGGACCGCGTCTCTCGCAAGTGTGGTCCCCCATCGAGACCCATGCAGCCGGTGTGTTTGCACATCTGGCCAGGTGATCAGTTGCCGGTTCTCGTTCAATGACTGCCCATGTCCATTGTTTGGATGGCGTGCAGACCGAGTTTATCAGCTCCGGTGCTCCCGGTATGTATTTGGCCTCAATCCAGTACCAAATAAAAGTTTGGGCGATTTCCTATATCATTACGGTGAGTAATCCGGCTTTGGGGCAGTCTGCGAGTGTGTTTGATGCCTTTTTCCAGAGCTCGGGCTCGGAGTCATGGTGCTTTGCTTCCTGCAGCTTGGCAGCCCAGCCCCGCCCCCCTTATTTACATTTTGCAAAGAATCGTCAGCAGCTTGTTGGCTGCAAAGAGCATGCCATGATATCAATACAGACCTCTTTGTAATAAATTAGTAAGTATGCATGACATTATACACATTCCTTGTAATGCTATCACAGAAAAATTAGATTTTGGATTTACAGGGATATCAAAGATATTTTCTAGTTTTCATGAGAAAATAGCTGGCATATATACTCTAGAGCAGGGCATCCCAAACTTTTATGGGCCGAGACCCACTATTGAAACCGGTAATTTTTAGAGGCAGAAACTTGGCATATCATGAGAAACATACAACTGCTTACTCACAGAGGTTTACGCAGAATCAGAAGCGCTGTGTTCCGCTCTTCCATCTATGAACCTCATGTTGAGTATCCCAGTGGTGGAACTAATGTAGAGAGGGCCCTGGTGCAAGTATAGTAAAACAAATAATACGTGCTGAATAAAATGATACACAATCATATATGCATAAAAGCGAACAAAGCAATAAGTCCAAAATGTGGTATATAGGTATAGGTAAGTCTATAAGAGTTTGCCTTTATCTCCAGGTTGGTATGTCTTCCAAATAATTGAGGTCCAGGCACATAAAAGAGAAGAGAAGAATTCCAATAGTGCAATATGTTAAAAATATATACGTTTGCAGTGGTATTGTTCCCCCACTTCAGGGATATGGTAGAAGGTATAGGCCAGTACGTATCTTGTCAGCAGGATATGTAAAAATATAAACAAAGATACAACGGATAGTGCTCTCTGTATAATATATATATATATATATATATATATATATCCAGGAGAAGAAATAAATGAATTATACTCACATTAACCTGAGCAGATAACCCACTCAGTGTAATATGCGTAGGTGGTATGATCCCCACCAAGGATACTTTGTGAGGTCCTCACTGGGAAGGTAAAACTTGATGCCAGGTAATAAAAAGAAAAAAGAAAAGGTATATGGTACTAATATTGGTAGTAAAAGATACCAAAGAAAATAATAATGTTAAAATAAGTCCACAACGCGTTTCACCCACAATGGGCTTTTTGCATGTGGTAATCAAGCATGTACAATCTTATATAGGGTAAAATATGTACAAAATTCAAATTTGGCGGTAAAATGACGTCATGGTCACGTGGTCGTGACCATGATATGACAATTGTAAAGTTAAAATGGTAAAATTCCATAACAAGTTAAACTATGCTTTTAAGCTTTATTCACAGTGGCTGTTATAATAAAAAAAGAAAAAGAAAATTGTAAGCCTTAAAACAATGATAACGAACAAAAATGGGCATTATCAGAGAAATTACATCAGTAGTAGGCGTTTAACAGATGGAAGCTTGGGAAATGTAGATGGAATAAACAGGGGCTGGGACACTACTGCGTCATAACTAACTGTGAGCTAGATGTGGGCGTGTTTGTAAAGCGAAAGTGATATAAGTTGATAATGCCCAAATGTAATGCCAAAATTAATGTGGCATAGAAGAATATATGAAAGTAAAAACACATTAGATGTTGACAGAAATGGGCAAAGAGTGAGGATGTGATGAAGGAAGATGATAGGATGCCGAGGGTCACGTGACTAATCTCGGCTGAGTAACTTATGAATGGAGAAATAGTGAATGGTGAAATACTTAGAACATAGTAAAGCTAAATGGGTGTTTTCACTCAGAAAGAGTGAAACTGGAAATGAAGATATAACTAGTAGTGGGGGAAAGAGTGAAAAAGTGAAATGAAATAAAGATGGGAATAAAAATAGAGGGAGAGACGACGAAAGAAAGGGAAGTGAAAGTTGTGCTTCTAAAGTGGGATAAAGGGGATAGTAAAGTGGGAATACACATAATACAGAAATGAGGACTAATAAGTAGCTGAGGAGAAAGATGAAAGGAAAAAAGGAGAAATAAATATAAATAGCTAAAAGAATAAAAGAGGTGTATGGAATAGAATAGATAATAACTAATAAATAACAAAAGACAAGTGGTAAGGTTCATAAAAAATTAAAAATATCAAAATCTGCATTGAGAACTTCTGGAGTTACAGTTCTTATGTTAAAAACCCGCTCCATCTCCTTTTTACCAAGAATATTATGAATATTACCTCCTCTCCATGGAATGTTGCATTTCTGAATGACCATAAATTCTAAAAATTGTGGGTTGTTTTGATACTTACAGAAATGTTTGGAAACCGTATGATTCTCATATCCTTTTTACGATATTGCACCAATGCTCTGCTATTCTGATTTTAAGACATCTGGAGGTCATGCCCACGTACTGAAGTCCACATGGGCATTCTAACATATATATATATATAACATTTTTAGTGTCACATGTAATAGAATCTCTTATTGTGTAGTTGTTTTGGTGATGTTGGAGCTAAAATGAGTGGTTTCAGTAGGTCCTCTATTATTTGTAGTTCTACAGACAATGCATTTTTTACATTGAAAAAAACCTTTCAAGTCGGATATTGTAGATTTCTTTTTAGTGTTAGTGGATCTAGTAAAATTATTAGTTAGGATTGACTTAAAATTTGGGTCTCCTCTGAATATAATATTAGACTTATTGGCGATAATCTTCTTCAGTATGTCAATGTTAGTTGTCCAAATCTATGTTAATTTCTTTGCTGTAATCAGAAGTGAGAATAATACCTTTGTTGTTATTATTAAGATAATTTAAAAAAATGTTAAAGGACCACTATAGGCACCCAGACCACTTCAGCTTAATGAAGTGATCTGGGTGCCAGGTCCATCTAGGGTTAACCCTGCAGCTGTAAACATAGCAGTTTTAAAGAAACTGCTATGTTTACTTTAGGGTTAATCCAGTCTCTAGTGGCTGGTTAATTGACTGCCGCTAGAGGCGCTTCCGCGCTTCACACTGTGAGTGCATGCGCATTCAGCCGATGACTTCGGAAGGAGGGGGAGAGTCCAAAGCACCGAGGGAGTCCGGCACTGGAGAAAGGTAAGCGTTTAACCCCTTCCTCCCCCTAGAGCCCGGCGGGAGGGGGCCACGAGGGTGGGCGGAACCTATTAACACTATAGTGCCAGGAAAACGAGTATGTTTTCCTTGCACTATAGTGGTCCTTTAAGAGATTCTTCCAACCCATCCCAAATAAAAAATAAATCATCTATGTACCGAAAATATGTGACTAGGTTTGCCCTCCAAGCATGGTCGTTCCGGATAGTCTGAGTCTCCCAGTCTCCCATAAATAAATTGGCATAGCTTGGGGCAAACCTAGTGCCCATAGCATTACCCTGCTTCTGAAGATAAAAGCTATCTAAAAACCAAAAATAATTATTATTTAAAATAATCTCGATACCTTCTATGATAAAATCTATTTGAGTGTTTGGAATCTTATTTTCTTCTTTTAATATCCTGGAGACTGCTTCACATCCCACTTTGTGGGGTGTAATGGTATAGAGTGATTGAATATCGCATGTCACCAGGATATAGTTTAGTTGCCATGTAAAACTATTTAAAAACTGAAGTCCACAGACTCTGAAGTCGATACAGATGATAATTTTTTAAGGGGGAGGGGCACGGAGAGAAGGGGTTACAGTGAATAGTGGGCAGGCAGAGTAGGGGTTATAGTGGGGGGGACAGGGAGAAGGGGTTACAGTGGGGAGGGGGCAGGGAGAGAAGGGGTTACAGTGGGAGGGGGGCAGGGAGAGAAGGGTTTACAGTGGGCAGGGGGCAGGGCAGGGTTTGACATGCTTAGTAAGGCAGAGTTGGCACCTACTCTCCCCACACTGCAGGTGACTACTCTGCAAAAATGTACCCGGTCGGGGAGGAACAGTCACTAGTAATGGGGATCCAAGTGGACTAGAATTCCTAGGAATAGAGAGAAAAAATTTAGAGGGGTGAAGATAAAAATGATCTCCTTAGCAAAACATAGATGAAATGGATTTTTAATGTAGATACCCTCATACCACAAGGACTAAATGTTGATTTAGAGATTACCCCAGATATATAGAAATATAAAGATATAGAAGTTACTTTTTTATTCCTCTCTTTTTTTAAATTGTATATTTATATTTTTATATAATTTTGATAAATACATATTTCTATATATTATTGATAAATATGTGTTTTTATAGTTATCCTATTTTATATATTAAAGTAAATAAGTTATAGAATATGCCCTTATATCTATGCTGATATTATATTTGTCCCCCCTTTTTTTTCTAACATAATTTCTTCCTTTTTCTACTTTCCTCAGGCTTTTATTAAATATAATGTATTTTATATATTGTTTTTTAAATAACAGCAACATGTTTTTCTATTGATTAGGATATCTTTCATGTTATATGGTCTGGAATATTATATACATGTTTTTGTTAATTATTAACCTAAGTTTTTCATATTTAGGATCATTTATAGTTTTTTTTTTTATAGTAAGACATCTCTATTTTTGATTTTGCCCACTGAAAATGAAAAACTTTCATTTTGTG